TGCTTCAAATTGTTAACAACGCTATAAAAATTTTGAACAATGGGGATTTTTCTTCCCGTTTTAGGAATAACACGGGCAAATGGAGCGTCATTTATGATTTTCTGGTAATATTAAACTGAAATTGCCGTTGTACAGATACAAAAATGTCCGCAAAGAGGAAGTTAAAAACGGACCAATTACATACATCAATTAAACATATACAGGGTGGTGACTCTTGCGTAACGCATCATAGGGATTTTAATGTATAATTCATAACATGCGATTATTGGCTCCCCAAATTATTTTAGAGCAAAAATGTATTAAAGTTTATTGTAGAAAAAATATTTTTTCGCCAAACCGCCGTATTAGTTTTCAATTTTTTTCATATAAAGACGGAAAATTGGGAAAATAAAACCCGCATCTTTTTCAATAATCTGCGATGCCATGGAATTTTCTAAAACAAAAAGATATCCAGTTATCAATTATAGTAGCAGTTCGAAATGGATTTTATGATCGACTTGGTTACTGTCTTGCAGTTAATGGTGACTTATTCGAACGTTTATTGTAAATTGTTATATTAGAAAACCGTTTTTAGTAATTTGGCCTTTCTTTATGTTGAATTCGCTGTTTTAAATATAATACTTTTGATAGAATTTGATTTGTTTTATAGCAAACATTCCATGGCATGACGGATATTGGCGTAGTTTTTGTATTATAAAATTCCATGGCATCACAGATTATTGAAAAAGGTAGGGGTTTTATTTTTCCAATTTTCCGTCTTTATTATGCAAAAAATTGAAAACTAATACGGTTGATTGACGTAAAAAATTGTTTTCTACAAAAAACCTTAATACATTTTTGCTCTAAAATAATTTGGGGAGCCAATAATTGCATGTTATGAATTTTACATTGAAATCCCTATGATGCTCTAGCCAAGTCACCACCCTGTATACGTACATAATTGTAACTGGGTATCAAACAACATTGACAAATTCTAATCTTAGAAGGGGAACTAAACGGAAGCACTCTCAACACTCCTGAGTCCTGAGACATCCTCAACTTCATCTGCAATCGCTTTGTAGAAGTTGGGCATTGTAATTATAATGTTCCTTTCTAATGTTCGTCTATGACAAACGAGATGTGCACTATTCTTTCAGGAACCGCAATTTAGTCAGCAAGACACTGCTAAATTTATTACGTTTAGTGAATGTGTTATCATAGTGTAAGAATAGAACTTACACTATGGTGTTATATATCAATAATAGAGCACTCTGCAAGTGGATTCCTGGACACCTTAAACTTAACTTGCAATTTTCATTTCATACGTCATCCAAGGTGCGACTATTTTCACACTGTATGAATGGAAATAAATGGATGGAAAATTACACTTTTATAGAATTGAAAAACCTGTGAATCTGATGCGTTGTGTCGAGAAATATGGCATGAAGCATATAAAGAAAAAATTCTGAAAAGAAAATCGACGAGCAAAATAATTTCAAAGCACATTACGTTCCACATTCTTTTCATTACGTTCATAAATAAAACGCATTTAAATGAGAAACAAAATTGGTTTTGATATGAATCATCTGCATTCCTTTAACAATACCTAAACGCTGAATAAAGGTTGCTTATGCAATTTCCTTAAATTAAATCACCCTTAGGTAATAAGTATTCACATGTTAAAGAAGTAATTAAATTTATAAACTACAAAGTTGTATAGGTACACGCTGGACATGTACGTAAATGCTGCCAGAAAAAGTGAAATAATGTTTTCTTTTTACATATAGTGAACATTTCAGTTTTTCAGAATTCAATTGGATTTCTCCTACATGTAGGGATTGCTTGTCGTTCGAATAGACAGTAATTTTACATCTTTAGCATATATTTAAAGGACCTAGTGTAACGAGAGCATTCATTTGTGTTAAACTTTTTGCGATTTTTCCCGTTGAATTATGTGGAAGAACAATTTTTAGTTTAAAAAGAGTCAAAGTTTCAAAAACATTCCACCAAGTTCAAGATTTTAGCAGCGAGCTTTCGTAATCTTGCCACGTTTGTCATTGAATTATGTGTTCTAAAGTGTGTTTGTCGCCTCGTTTTCCGGTTAGGGTTTGAATTACACGCTGGAAATCGGTCGTTTTAAGTTACTTCTGCAACAATGACACTAGCAAAGGACAAGGAAATGAGTTTGATGGAAGAGAAAGGAATACAGTAGGGGAAATAACGAGTGGTAGTAAGAGAATAACTCGAGTTATAAGTACAAAAGAGAAAACTGAGACAAAAGTACCCAAATATACAAAGATAGGAACTTGGAATGTATAGAGCTTAACTTAACGGGTAAAGAAGAGGAAGTAGTTACGGAATTTGAGAGGGCAGCACTAGAATGAGATAAAAGGTCTGAAAGTTAAAAGAGGATACGAATTTCTTGTGATAGCAAAAACTGAACGGAAAAAAAGGAGGAGGAGTAAAGAAAAGTAGAGAGAGAAACAATTAACACATTCAAACTAAAGGAAAAAGAAGTGATCAAGGATATGAAGAAGAAGTAAAGAGAAGAATATTAAACAACAAGGAAGCAATAGAAAATACAGGTTAGATAGATAGATAGATGTATATTTGTGCTGTACAAATGTATAAATATGTTTGCACACGTCAAATTGCAAATCTTGTATAATAACAATGGTATGTATACACGAAAAGAGAAAAAAAGTATTTGTATAGATAAAAAAGACATTTAACAATAAGATTAATGTATATCAACAAAAACAAATATTAGACAAACAAACAGAAAACTCAACCACACATATCGAAATCACAGTCTAAGTACTCTTCTACACTGTAGAATGCATTGTTTTGCAGATGTTTTCGCACTTGGGTTTGAAATTGTTTTGTTGGCAGGCATCTTATTTGGTTTGGTAGTTTGTTCATAAATTTTATACCGTAATAGTTAAACGCATTTCTTGTTCGTGTAAGGCGCAGTTTTGAAAATTTTAGGTCGTGTCTATTTCTAAAGTTGTATTGATCGTCAGGGAGATAAGGATTGTGGGAAATATTCAAATACAGTGTTTGAGGCAGCTAAAAATACATTGTGGAATATACAAAGAAAATAGAAACAAGAAACTAACGACATGGTAGATGGAAGAAATTAAGCAATAAGTAAAAGTGAAAAAGGCAAAATGGCAAAATGGCAACAGTACCTGAATAATAGAGCGGAAAGAAATTATAAAGAATAAAAGTGAAAAAATTGGTATAAGAAGCTAAACAAAGATCATGGGCGGACTTCGGAGTCAAACTCAAACAGAACAACAAAGAAAACCAAAAATTATTCTTCAAAGTTTCAGATACAATAAGAAGACAGATCTCATAATAATTAAAAACGAGAAAGGGGATGTTCTAAGAACGGAAAAATTCAATATGATGGAGCGATGGAAGCAATACTTTCAAAAGCTGCTCATGTGGGATGGAGGATGCGCAACAAAAAGGGTACAAGATGAAGAAAAAATAATTGTAATAGAAGAAGGCAAGAAGCAGGAAAACGGCGAAATAACAGTGATAAAGGAATTAGAAAATGGGAAAACACCAGGGAATGACAGATTTAGTACAGAAATGGTTAAATGTATCATGATTCATGGGAGAAAGCGATAATTACTTACTTCTGGAAATATTTAATAGAGTTTGGAAGGTGAAAAGCCACCGACGGACTGGGAAATTGGACTAATCCTACCAATTTTTAAGAAGAGAAATGCGATGGTCTACACTACAGAGGAATTACCTTATTGAGCACACCTATGAAGCTGTTTCATCAGTAGAATGAAGGCTAGATTAAAAACCATATATTTGTTGTTTATGGATATGAAAGAAATAAAATTTGGGAATCTCTGAATGAGAAAACTGTAAATAATAAATTAAGTAGAGTAGTAAGATGCATGTACCGAAATACCAGAAAAGGAGAAAAGCCCATTGTTATTTATTATATTCATGGATCAACTAATGAGACGTGCCAAAGTCAAACTAAGAACAAAACCATATACAATGAGTTTTTTTTTAATGCGAACATAGGAGTTTGCATGCAATGTAATTTCCCTATGTTTGATTTTTAAAAAAACACATCAATCTATGAGATGTGCGCGGTTCACATTTCCAAATCGCGCAACTTGTGTGACTATGAACTGCAACTCATAGTCGTTGTGATGAAGAGCACTCGGTAAGATTTTTTTAAATAAGCCATGTGAGGCCATAGCAACTTTAGGATACATTTTTCTTAAACTTACGAAAACTTGACTTCACATGGCACGCGCTGACATCACAATTCATTGTGAACCAACCTTCAATTATTTGTAGGTCATGTGCACCTGGTATTCTACTAATTTGATCTATTCAATACATAAATGAAGAAAATAAGAAAATAAATAACGCAAACAATTACAATAAATGTTCGAAGTGTCCTCCTTGACATTCTAAGCAATAACCTAACCGATTTCGTAATTAAATTGAACGGCGGTATTTTTAAAAATGTGACAGCTGTCAATTGTATCTACTACTCATTTGAACTACTCAATAGATTGATGCACGATACACTTACAACGGTATGCTCTTGCGCATCTAGTGTGACGTCACGTGCGAACAAAACCACAGAATATAGAGCAAAATTACGCTTCTTAGATAACAAATCACACTGATTTGTGTAGAGATCGTCGCGTCGGGTATTTCTGGGATTTAGCGATCGTATTATGTTTTTGTGGTTAGAAGGTCTGGTAAATGTTAATGAGCACTGAAAACACACTTCCCACTTTATTGACCTATTTATTCCATAATAATGAAGTAAACAATACTCGCGTGGTACCATTACATGCTTGTCATTTTTCTGTCTCCCGCCAGGAGGCGACAACCATAGATATTGAAAAATATAGAAATTCCATTGACATAATAAACATTGAATAAATACATTATAGTCTCCCACGCTAAATAAAAACATAACGATTACTGAAATATGAAAAATAATACAATATGAAATATTTCGAAAATGATCAGTCTCGAACGTAATCTTGAAAATGTCTCGGAACCTGGCGCTGTCTTTGTGACCTTCGAATTTGAACAGCTGGCGGAGCCGCTTGAGGAACAGCTTCGGCTGGGGGAGCCATCACAGGAACATTTCCTTGGTCTGGAACTGCAGCATAATTGTCGGGTCTGATAATAATTTCTTCTAATTCCATTGGCTTGGGTTGGTCTTCGATGTTGTCCTGGAATGTGACCTTCTTCTTCGGTTGCACACTAGATTTGATGAGTTGGTTTATGTGTCGTTTAAAAATATAGCCATTGTCTAGTCTGATTTGATAGTGTAGACGACCATACTTCTTTAGAACTACTCCAAATTTCCATGTAGGCTTCTGGTTAGTGTACCAACGAACTTGGACTCTCTCTCCCACGCTGAGGTTTCGAACTCGGGGAAGGTCAGCTGGTTTACTGGCAGGTTCTTTTGATGGACGTAGTGCATCTAGCTTAAGTCGAATGTCTCTTCCAAGATAAAGTTGAGCTGGTGTTTTACCGCAATTCAATGGTGTGCCTCGATATCGGTACAATATCTCACGCACTTTCTGGTTCATCGAGAGCTTTTCGTCTGCCATGGCTGTAAGTTTCTGCTTAAGGGTTTGAATATTCCTTTCAGCGAGACCATTTGTGGCAGGGTGCCCTGGTGCAATAAACTTTTGCATGATTCCATTTTCTCTACAAAATGTTTGAAATGTATCACTATGGAAAATTGTGGCGTTGTCTGATACCAAATTTCTTGGCAATCCATGTACACTAAAAATGTCTTGCAAAAGGTATATTGTCGATTCTGAAGTTGGTGCTTCTTTTATTACTTTGACTTCTGCCCATTTGGATTTTGAATCAACGAGTACGAGGAAATAGAATCCCTGGAAGGGTCCTGCATAGTCGATGTGGACTCGTTCGAAGTTTTCCTTGGGCTCATCCCAGTGGTGTACTGGAGCTTTTACAGGATCTTTTTTGATGAGGGCGCAATTTTCGCATTGTCGAACAAGATTTTCGATATCCTTGTCGATATTTCGCCAATAACAATACCTCCGGGCTAACTGCTTCATTTTGACGATACCGACATGTGTATGGTGCAACTCCTTTAAAACTTCTGCACGAAGGCTCGTTGGTATTACTACACGTTGGCCTTTGAATATAACTCCATCGTGAAGACTGTAGTCTGGATTATTGAGATTTCCATGTATAAGGCTTTCCTTTATTTTTGACAGTTCTGGATCTTGCTGAGATTCGAATGCGATTGATGTACTTGTGAGAGAATAAGTTGAAATTTGATTTATCACCTGGTCATTTAAGTTCTGTAACTCTTGGTCTAATGTTGTTTCTATTCCAATTGATTTTTCATTAGAAGGTGCTCTTGAAAAGAAGTCAACATTGACGTGATCTTCGGCTTTCCGATGTTGGACTTCATAATTGAACTGTTGTAGAAAGGCAGCATAACGAAGTAAACGAGCTGATGTCATCGCTGGCAGTTTTGCATTCTGATGAAAGATTCTTGTTAAAGGACGATTATCCGTGATTAGGGTAAATGGTTGACCATAAATATAATTGTAGAATTTGCCCACTGTAAACAGGATGGCAAGAGCTTCGCGATCAAGCTGACTATAATTTGTTTCGGCTTGTGTCAGTGATCTGGATATAAACGCTACAGGTCGTTCAACTCCGTCGATAATGTTTGATAATACTCCCGCAATGCCTGTTGGGCTTGCATCACACGCAAGTGTAATTGGTAAATTGGGATCGAAGGGAACCAGTACCCGTTCACTTGATATTTCGGTTTTCAGTTTGATAAAAGCTGATTCGCATGATGACGACCAAAAAAATTGTTTGTCCTTACGCAGTAATTGTCTAAGTGGATGTGTCATGGTTGATGCATCTGGTATGAAACGAGAATAGTATGTAACCATTCCCAAAAATCTACGTACTTCATCTGCATTTCGAGGACGTGGAACACTGTTGATCGCTTCTACCTTTTTTGGACATTTAGAAATCTTGTTCTGACGAATGATATACCCTAGATACTGAATTTCGGTTTGAAAGAAAGTACATTTGTCTTTGTTGAGGTGTAGATCATATTTTCTTAAACGCTCTAGGCAGTGTCTAAGTCGATTCTGGCATTCTTCATGTGATGTTCCATGGATTATGATGTCGTCAAAGTATGACATTGTTCCCTCTAAGCCTTGAAGAATTTGGTCCAATATTCGGTTAAATTCACTTGGAGCTGTTTTTATGCCAAATGATAATCTGTTCATTTGATAAGTACCTCGATGTGTTGAAATCGTTTGTACTGCTCGACTGTCTTCATCAACTCGTACATGTAGATATGCTTTATACAGGTCTAATCGGCAAAAATAGGTTGAATTCCGGAGATTGTTTAAAATATCATCGATGCGTTTAAATGGATAATGAGCGGATTTGAGCTGAGGATTAACGGCTATTTTGTAATCGACACATAACCTAACATTACCATCTGGTTTGGGAATAACGACAAGTGGTGAACCCCAGTCGCTAAGATTTACTTTTGTAATTATACCATTTTGTTCAAGGTCATCTAATTCTTTTTCTACTTTTTCGCGTAAAGCATGTGGAACTTCTCGTTGTTTAATAAATACTGGTTTAGCATTTTCTCGTAATTTCAAGGAACACGTAATATCTGGAATACATCCTATTCTGGGTTCGAAAATTTCTTTATATTCTTCAAATAAAGCTGGTACTATATTGATGGATAAGATATTAGAAGTATTGGACATCGAGTTTCTTTTGTCGATTTCAGCTAAGTCGATTTGCAAATGGCGTATCCACACGCGACCTAGGATAGGAGGGAATCTTGAAGGTACGACGTACATTTCCTCTTGAGATTTTCGCCCTTGATACTCAACTTGTACCGAAACGGAGCCTACTGGAGTGAAGATGTCTCCTGTGTAAGACCGAAACTTTGTATTGGACTTTTTTAGTACTGTTTTTAGACGTAGTTTAGCGTAATCGGATTCTGGTATAAGTGTGAAGCCTGCACCTGAGTCTACTTCAAAGGTTTGACGTCTTCCTTGGATATAAACATTTGTGAAGTATTTTTGAGCTTCATGATTGGACGTTCTGGATTTTTCAAAAATATCGACGATTTGATTGATTCCATCAAAATGGTGTAGAACTGGCTCGACGTAGTTTGTTTCTGCAGTTGTAGATGGTTTTTGCCTCTGAGATGTTTTTTGTTTTAATAAGGTTTGGATGCACACTTTTTCTACGTGACCTACTTTCCCACATGATTTACATTTAAGTGCATTGATTTCGATTCGACAAGTGTTCGATAAATGATTATCTCGACTGCAACGTAAGCACAGATTTTCGATACCTAAACTTCTGTAATTAATTCGCGATTTTGACCGTTTTCGAAATTCACTCTGATTGTTTTTAATGTCTCTTGACCGATACCGACTCTTAGACCGATGATTTGCGTTTTCACTACTTCGATTACTTGTATGGTACCTTGATAACCGATTAATGTCACTTGATTTATCTAGATTATTCGAGATTTGTTTAGTATCGAGTTTAGACGCTTCCAGTGCTACTGCTTTATCCACGGCTTCTTTAAAAGTCAGCGTACTAATTTGCAAAAGTTGTTCTTTAATTGATGTATCGTTAATACCGCGTATAAATTGTGCTCTCAGGAAAATGTCTGCTATTGATTTGCCGCACTCACAATTAAATTCGCAACCATTTACGTATTTTCTTAGTTTTGCTACATATTCAGCAATTGAATCGTTACTGCTCTGTGATTCACACAAGAATTTGTGTTGCTCGACAATAATATTCTTTTTTGGGGAAAAATGTTTTTCTAATAATTCCATTAGCTCGTCGTAAGTCAATTGTTTCGGATCCTGTGGTGCCGCTAATGAAGTAAGCAAGTCGAAATTAGCTGAGCCTATATATTGCAGCAATAGATTAGCGCACAGCGGTTTATTATCGATAACCCCTTTTACTCGAAAATGTATTTCCAATCGTTCTTTATAGTTTTTGAAAGTTTGGTGTTTTGGGTCGAAAGCTTCGAAATTTGATATCAATGTAACGTTTGATTGCTGATTTGCATTAGCTAGCTGTTGTTGTTGGATAGCAGTTGTCATGCCCACCATTGCGGTTATTAATCTATCGAGTTGAGTAGGGTCAGCCATATTCGACAATTTATATGTACTTGATAATAAAGTTGTACTTACAGTAGTCGTGATGTTTACGTACGGCGCTTCTAACCTTAACCTTTCCTATTAACCCGCATTTGATATCATCTTGCTTCTCTCGTCGCCACTTATTATGTTTTTGTGGTTAGAAGGTCTGGTAAATGTTAATGAGCACTGAAAACACACTTCCCACTTTATTGACCTATTTATTCCATAATAATGAAGTAAACAATACTCGCGTGGTACCATTACATGCTTGTCATTTTTCTGTCTCCCGCCAGGAGGCGACAACCATAGATATTGAAAAATATAGAAATTCCATTGACATAATAAACATTGAATAAATACATTATAGATCGTATGAAATAAACTCTAACCAAAAATATAGGCTCTAAACATGAAGTGCGGCTTTTTAAGTAAATATTATGTAATTAATGCGTTATCAAAAGATCTAATCTCTCCTTCGTTTTCCTGTTATTTTGATTTTCATTATTACGTGGTGGTTTTAAAGTAGGTACAGGATCAGGTTTCAAATGTCCGCTATTTTTAAAAGTGTAATTAAGAAGTCGTTCCCATAGCGGTGCTTCAAAACGGCTGGATTCAAAATGGACAGAACAAATACAGACTATAAAATTAAACAGCAATGTAAATACTAAAATACACCATTTTTCAAGTTAATTTTATCATTACAACGACATGCAACAATCCATTTTCGAGAAAAGTCTTCAATGTCTGGAAATCGAAAGTATTACATTTCCGTTCCTTTTGATTTTCTATTAGAATTGCTCCATTGAACCACTACACAACCTGGAATTTTCACTAACGATTAATTATATCAACAAATTAACGCTAAAGCTCGTAGATACAACTGATCAGTTGCAAACTGTCACGCGTGACATGTGTACTGGATCGTGAATAAACATTTGAATTTTTGCGCCACACGTTCGCAGGTGACGTAATGCCCAGTAGAAAACGCGTTTGAGAAAAATAATGAGCATACCGTGTGTAAGTGTATCGTGGATTGATGTGTTTTTTTTAAATCGAACATAGGGAAATTACATTGAATACAAACTCCAATGTTCGCATTTAAAAAAAATTCACTGTATGTAGAATATATAGAAATCTAGAAATGGGAGAAATTTCGGAATGCGCATTTGCGGACGACATAGTATTAATAACGAGAAATGAAAACGATTTAAGAGAAAACCTATAGGTGTAGATTAAAGTCTTAACAGAAAATGGCATAAAGATAAACAAAGCCAAATCCAAAACTATGGTAATAGCAACCGATAAAAAGGAATGCCATACTAGAAGACGACGCCATAGAACAAGTAAACATCTACAAATATCTAGGACTAACTCTATAGAAGAAACGGGAAATCAAGGAGTAGAGATTAATAACAGAATTGGAAAAGCTAATAAACTTTATTTCGCACTTCTTTACTTTAAAAAAAAAAGCAAAGGGATCATTAACAGGAGAGAAATGACGAAGGAAACAAAGATCAAGGTGTACAAAGCAATTAATATCTCATATACACCACTACTCATACGTATGTATGTGAAAACCTACCGTCTATGTGTGACCGGTAGATCTATTAGTAAATGAAAAATTTATGTAAAAAGGGAGATGCATTCTTAAACAGCACGATTTTCCTCAATAAACGCATTTATTGAGTAATCTTTTAATGATACAGTTTTCTTATTGGGATTTCCCGTTCTATAAAAAAAAACAAAGGAAATTCTCAACCCTATTTGCAGAAAAAACCGTTGCCCTGGTAAGTTGCAGTTTTCCATCTACGCTCATCAAGCATAAGCCAAGGCCCAATAGTCCGTCTCCTCCAAAGTCTTCCGCACGCATTCATTTACTATTGGAAATGACAATGTTTATGCTGGTATATAAACATAAGAATGTAACAATCGTGACTGCGATTCTCATTCTTCACTATATTTCTATAATCCGCGTTATTAAAAGTAATTTTGATTTCAACTACCAGTTAAAATTTGAAAATTGGTGCAGCTCGGTGTATACCGTATTAATTACAGCACTCTCCCACATTACAGTACAATGTTGCTATGAGTACGTACTATACTAATAACGCTCTCTGCTTACACTATACCCATAATCAGAGTTGTAAAATTTATAAATGGTGTATGTGCAACTAGCTTAGCTCATATTACATTCATGGAACAGCGAAATTGGCTTTGCCAAAGCTTTCATCGCGCGTGTTATTACAAACGAAAAAATGGTGCATTAAAATACAGTAGTTAGTAATTACGAAAGCCCGTTTATTTCATTTATTGGATATTGTTACTTACATGTATTATGTAGATTTTGTAGTGGCTTCGTCTATGGTCGGGGGGTGTTAGAGATTCTTACTTCTCTACACTAATTGAAGTGGATAAACGAAATAAAATAATAAAATTGGCTTCCTTCAGACTAGCTTTTGCATGCATAACAAAATTTATTCATTTAATGATGTACCTATATAATTATTTTCAATTAGTCCACTTCAAGTACGAATTATTAATACGAAAATGAATATTTTCATTGCAGCAAAGGGCACCCAACGTCTTCTCTTAAACTGCTTTAGACGTTTACTTTTTTAACCCTGTCTCACTATTGAATATCTACGCAGGTCTGTTACATTGCCCCCATCTTCCTTTTGACATACGATGACAAATTTGTGCACTGAATTGTCTGCCCCTAACATTATTTACGGTAAGTTTTATAAAAGTCCGGTTGAACCCGTGATTAGCCAGCCGCGGGTGGAACTTCAACTCGTGGTTAAGTCCTCTTGTGTTTTATAAACACTTTTCGAACCATAAAACCAAATTTAACGGCAAGAGGGGCTGTAACGGTACCAGTGATGCTTCACTTGAAACAATATAGTAAAGATGAATTTAAAATAAGGGGGGCCAATGTAAAAATTCCCTGTTTGGCATAAAGATTCACTTGCTTGTTTTCATTTAGCGCTTAAGCTTTAGGGCAAACATTAACCAGGTACCAGGTAACATTTTGAAAAAAAATGTAAAAGCGGGAGAGGACATAACGCGCCGTCTTGTGTTCACATGTGTAACCATAGCTGTCACTTTTCGTAGAAATAGGTAAAATAGGAATTTTTCTAAGTTTTGTAGTTTTGAGTAACAAACATTGCGTATCATCGAAATTTACGGGTTGTCTGAATTTAGACGTTTGAAATTATTTTCCGAATAAATAGTGGTTTCGGTGGGATTTGAAAGAATACATTGTTCAACTTCAGCGCAACGAACGTGAATTTTTTTCTACGCACTTATTTTCTATAGGGCGTTGTTTCTTAAATGCTTTCGAAAACCGGAAGAGCCATATATAGTCTTGACTCAATATTATGGAACTTGCATACCTAATTGGAAAAGGCTGGGGTATGATTTATCACCCTAATTCCAATTTGATTCGTAAGGCGGGATCTGGACCAACAAATTAACAATTAAAAAAGTTAAATTCATTTTAGTAGGCGTTAATTAACCACTAAGTGAGGGGGGGGGTCCTCCTTTCGGGAGACTATGTGGATTCACATAGAAGCCCACGACATAACTAGAGTGTTGCACGGTGGTAACAATTCCTGAAGAGATTAAGATCTTGGGTGCGAGAAATCAACATCGCAAATCCAGATTTTCTTTTGCGAGGCTATGCTAGATTGCAATAGAATCAATAGTGCCGCGTGTTTTTCAAAATAAAGTTAATATTTGTGTTTGGAACCTAAAATCTAAAACCTCGAGATCCGTTAATTATTGCAAAATACGGATTCTTGTAAAATAAGAAAAACAATAAAATGTCAAATAAAACACATTTCATCGCATCGTATAATATGCAAGGATAGTGTAATTAAAACGCTAATATAAATTTGTTGGTACAAAAAGCTATCGTTAGAACTATTGTGTAAACGTTTATGACTGTGAACTTGCAGAAGGGATTAAACTTATAGTTATTTCGTCGTCCAAAAAATTCAAATTACCGCATTAGAAAAACTAAATAAGAAATACCTTCGCAACAGCGGGCAGTTACTTTTGCACTTCTGTGTTTGCCTCTCCGATTTAACTTGTTTTCTTGTCATTAGAGGACATTTAGTTTGTTTTGCTTTTTTATGTTAACCATCATAAACTCAAACGTAATATTGATTACTAAATATTTTTTGTTTTTATTCTATTGTGTGATTTCTAGTTTTCTATTTGTATTGTTTAGCGAAGGTTTATTGGGTTGAAAATCAATTTATGTTAAATTAGCTTAGAACATGTTTTTTTTTTTTGGTATTTAATGTAACAGGTGAATTCCGTAAATATATTATTATTATTATTATTATTACCTTATATGGTCATGTATCAAATACTGCTCTACTATTTTCGTCAGAGATAACTATCCGTAGCTTTGCCTTGGGTAAAATTTCGTAACTTGTGGCGTCTTCCAGCAACCTGCAATAGAATCGGTCGTGTTAAATTGCCGAATTTGGGTGTTTGATATATTTTCCAATGGTAGAAATGATTTAATAATTAGCGGAAGCACCTTTAATCAATCGATTACCCGCTGTACCAGCAATTTGTTTTTGGACGTTCGGTTACAATCTTTTCCAAGATGGACTTAATACGGAAAACTCAAGCATTCCAAATCGTAAGTGTTTTCTTGTGCACGAATTGAGGTTACCGACGTTCTTTTACCATTGGAAATGCTAATGTTTTGTATGGGTATGAATTTACCAGGTTTGCCGAGTAGAAAAGAAGACAAGTGGTGTCGCGTCTAGTGCTGATTGTACCGTACTCGACTGCAATCGGTAGATTCAGGAAAAGTCGCGGATACTGTCGATACGGTACTTACTTAATAGTGCGCAATTATTTTGTTAATTCCAATCTAAAATTCTCCCATATCTCTCGTGACAGTAGTATTACAAGCATGTTACGACGCTTATTATTCAGAAAGTTCACGTTTGCGTCACGAGCGAGCTTGCGAGTGAGTGGAGCAAGATTATTCCGTGTGAATAAGGGTTACTTATGGCTTTATAGGTTATACGGTTATCATTTCCAATGTCTCCGATGGTTGCAAGGATTGCAAAATCTGTGAATTTTTTCTATTGTAGGGGAACAAATACCGACCGTATAGTAAATTTTGGAGTCATTTGGAACGTATCCAGTTCTTTTCTTTTGTGTACTCTCTGAATAAGAGAGTCTTTGCAAGGGGGTTAATATTCAGCTGAATCCGGGGAAATAATCTGCCAACTGCAGATGAGTGTGC